TGTTAGTTTTAATGGACACGGAGTTCTCACTATCCTATTCTGATTCGGTTTATATGTAAGGGGTAAGCAACCACCCACCATTGTAGCAACAACATGATAATTCTCACATCATGCGTTTGCCAAAATTTTGCTACTTTTATTTTCATATCAACTTATGGTAGCTATATTCATCGGTTGATTGGAACTTGTAGATCAAATTCTAGAGACCTCTCTCGTAAGGATACTCAATGTATTGTTTTTGGACATAACGACAAAATCCTTTCAGAACTCTTCATTTTCTATTTCTATTTCCATTTTATATATGCATTAAAATAGAACCTCTCAGATAATGTTAAATGCCAAAAATTACCTACCAAATAAGGAAAAAACTTTCCAAAAATGATCTTACATGATACATATATTTATCGTGATTGATGAAGGGTATCTTAGTATCTTACTGCTTCTTTACTTACATAAAGTAAAGCTTTCATTTATTAAAATATTCATTCACAAAATTCTAAGAATGATACGATATTTCATATTGTGTGGGCTTTTATTTGCTTCCCCTTGAACTAAAATGATATTTTACATGTGTGATTTTTTTAAATTACAGTAAATAGTTATTTTTAATCCACATGTAGTTTTAAAAATATTTATATTATATTAAATAGTCTATTTAATTATTAATGATATCCTTTTAACCTTCTAAGATAACATAATTCTCATAGATTCAGTATTTTTATTTGGTATCCTCAGACACCTATATACCTTTAAAGAGTCTAAGTGTACTTTTTTGGCATCATCAAATGTTGAGGCACCATCGAGTCCAAATGTCTCATTGACATCATCAGATGTTGATGCACCTCGCAAGTCCAATTGCGCTCATTTAGTACTATCAGATGTCATGACATCATTGCGAATCCAAATGCACCTCCTTGACATTTGAGGATGTCAAGGCACCCTCAAGTTCAAGTGGACCCCCTTGACATCCTTAAATGTTGAGATACCCTCATGAATCCAAGCTCAATCCCTTGGTATTTTTTTATGCTCACACACCACATAAGGCTAAGATGCACTTGTTTGACATCCTTCAATACTAATCACTTATGTCGTCAAACAAGTTTAATGGTTTTCCATTATATGTAAAGGTAATCAAGATTATTAAAGTCTAATTATCGTAAAAAACACGTTGCAAATGTATTACCTAATTAATGATCCTAGATCGAGACCCATTAGAATTTGGGCTCATCACAATTAATGTAAATAATATTGTATATCGAGATTAAATTATTGTTCCTAACATGTTCGCATTTATTACACTGAGTGAGCTACTTACTTAAGCGTCACATTATTTTTTGCAGGTACATCACCCTTAGCTTAACAAGACAACCAACTAAAAGAGTGAAGAGTAGTGACGACATTAAAGAGAAAAACTAGAAAGTATCCTGATACAAGTACATTTTGGCATCCATCGTGGGATGGAGTGTTATGGAGGCCCCATTTTGGTATTCTATGATACGAGAAAATAAATGACCACCATGTGTCAAATGCAAGAAAAGGATGCCACGAAGCTCTTGACCCTTAGACACAAAAATATTGATTAAACAAGTTAGGACTGAACATGGCATCCCTTGCAACAAACACAACAATAAGAAACCTTTTATCCTAATTCAACCTAAAGTTTAACGTGTACTAGTCAAGTCTCACGACCTTCGGTCCTAGTTAAGTCTTCATGTCCCCTTCCACCTCATATAAACCTTGTAGGCAAATTCATTTGACAGTCTAGTTAGGCCCACTTGACACCCTTTCATTGAGAGGATCATGGAAATCCCCCTCCTAAAAAATTGGAAAAGCTTCTTGGTATAGTAGTATAACAACTCGGTCGACCCAAACAAACATTTCGATGTATACCTAACTCAAGTTACCTTCTCCTAAAGGTATAACACTTAGATAGTTTACATGACTACCATTAGATTTTGTCGGCTCCTTCGATGACTTGACCAACATTTTTACAATTTAGTTTATTTTGAGCAAACCTTATTAAATAACCTCCTTTGCACTCGCCAATATTTGTTAAAGAATAAAGGAATCCTTTTAGTCTTTTATGGATTGGCTCAACAAGGTAGTCATGGAGATTGAAAATCTGAATCCAATAGTGACCATGGATTGGCTCATCACGGCGTTGAGGGAGGGGCCCTTCGTGGACAACCTATGTATAAAGCCTCCCCTAAAAATGAATGACCTAAGGTAGAGGGAAAAAATATGTTGATGAAGGAGTTTGCAGAGTCATAGCTAAGTCAGGACTAATAACATCCTCCAATTGAAAAAAAAAAGGGAATTCATCGGCAAAGGTGAAGGCCCCAACACCTTAAGTGGTTGCCCCCCTCGTAGTCCTAGGTGTACAAGTTATGTCCCTTTGAACACCAGTCGATCTAAGGTGTTGGAATAGGCTCTCACTTTTGAGGTTTTGACCATGTTGAAGCGGGTGAACATTTTGCATTAGGTTGATCCCTCTGAGTCATGTCAGTATCACCTTAATAAAAGACACTCGTATCAGGAGTGCACGACTTTGAGAGACAAAATCGAGGATCTTATTAATCAAGGGCTCTTGAAAAATTGTGTTGGTCAATACCAATCACATCATATTGGTAACGACAAACAACCTCGAGCCATAATCCACCTATCAAAAGGAAGAGAAAGGGAGCGAAACGATAAATAAAGGGAGAGGAACCAAAGTCATCCCAAATAGAGGAGATAGTGGCCCCACGATTAGCCTAAGAGAGTCATAAACACCATAACAAATGGATTTTGTAGGTGGAGGCTCTACCTTTTCAACTTAACAGAGGAACCTTCGAACAATTTCACTCAATAAACATGATGTTAAAAGGTTATCAAAGGTGTCATGCATCACTTTTATTGACCAATACTTCCAAGGCGTAGACCCGATAGAGGATGACCTTCAACATTGAAATAAAAAAATTGCATGGTTCAAAAAACACTAGTTGACTAGGATAGTTCGACGAGAATTATATACTATAATACATTCAAGTAGACAAACATACTAAAAGAGGACCTTCAACCATACAATGAACCCTTAATAGGTTTCTTTAAGGAAATAGTCACCAGTTGAGGGTGCATTAATCTCAAAACGTGTTTTGGCTACAATCAGGATGATAAAAGGACAATCAAAGTCAGATACATTGTTGTACATGTAAACACCTCTTACAACATCCTTGTGGGTCAGCCATCCATCAATGTTATTAGTGCCATAATGTCAGCACCTTATTTGGCCATGAAGTTTCCTTCCCATTCTAGAAAGATCATTATTGTTCATATGGACCAAAAAACCACTATGGAATGATATGTGGTGAGTTTGAATATCAAACCTTTAGAAGAAAGAGTCCCTACATAACCAAAGGGTGCCAATCTTGTAGGCACATGTTTTAAGCCATTGGAGTTAGGTCCCATGGCAGGGTAGGAAGGGAGAGTGGAGACGAATGAAGAAACCATAACCCTACAAATTGATAAAGAAACATCGCAAGTTACCTTCGTCAAATCTCATCTCAATGATATATAAACCTTAACATATTCACTTGGTCAACTGCTGACATGTCAAGTATAAATCATAAGTTTTATACACGTATTTTATTCTTAAATTTTAATTATCAAAATCAATTTTTATATTATTTTTATTTAATAGTAGTAATTAACAAAGACATAATACAATTTTAACCTAATACTAATTTAGATAACAATAAAAAAACAAACATATAACTATTTAATAAAAGTAAAAGATAACATAATTTAACTTAAGAGTATTAAGTTGTTTAGAAAAAAGTTTGTTTAATTAAAGGACAATCTTATATCTCTGAAAAATAGGGGTTTTATAGGAGTTTTAATACTAACAAACTTAACTATTTTTTATAAGAAATGATTTTCATATCACATAATGAAAACAATTTGAAATACAATTGGTTATATTAATGTGTAGTCATTTAGACGAATCACTTTGTTTGTCTAATAAATGAAAGGAATAAAAACTTTTTTTATTTTTTTTATTTTTGTACATTAAAAAAGAAACAATATTTTTTTTCCTTCAAAGAAAGAACAAGAAAAATTCTTAAAGTGTGCGATTTTACATATAGTTATTTTTTGATCGACACACATAATAATTCTTCCCGTTTTGTACTATAAAAGTGATAAGTACCCTTTTTTATCAGATAAGAAGATAATTTAATAAAATGCATTTAATACACCAATGAATATCTTATTTTATAAGGAAGAAGATGAAAAAAGATGAAACAAATATAACAGTGAAGCTTAATCATTTCATTATGTAAAAGAATGAGAACATTAATTGTAAAAAAATTAGTTCCATCATTTTTGTTAAATTTTGTATTCATATTTGTTGTATTAAATTGTTATCAAAATTTAACTTTGTGTTATGACTTAAAGTTTGAAGAAACTTAGAGAATATTCGTTGTTCAAAAAATATTTTACTAGTTCTTTGTGAGAAGTGACTTATAAAAAATATTTATATTTTTATGAAATTAGTAAAATTTGATCGAGTTTATTAAATTGATCGAGTTTATTAATCTCTATAATTAAGATAAATCAATATAAAATTCTTTTTATTTTTTATCTCTTTATTTGTGCTTGTTTTTTTTTTTACACAATTCTCTAATTATTAATTGTTATGAATATTATGTTTCATATTTTAACTTCAATATTTTTTTAAATGTAAAAAAAACTTTATAATAGATGTTACATGTTCGAACATGATATTTTTTTTTTGAACACCAACATGATTTTGTTTAAAAAATATTTGTGATTTATAAACATTTTTTTTTTATCTTAACAGTTTTAACTATTTATGTATCGTAAATATAAAGATTTAACAAAAACTTACATGCAATAACTAAAAAGTATATTCAAATATTGTGACTTTCTAATGTTAGTAGTGCCTTATCTCGCACACAGCACAATGACGCGCTCCGTATTAAAAAAAATTGTACGAGCGACGCTGTCCCCGTGTCGTAGAGCACGTAGTTAGAGCGTGTTGGCTTATAGCCATGGATGAGAGTTAATAGTGAGAAAACACAACAAGGTTGAAGCGCACGCGAGCATAGGTGCGTAAATGCAAAGAGGAAACCGATAGCTGTCAAATACTCTGGGAAACGGCGAGTACGAATGACGGCGGCTACCACCCATATATACAGTGACTGTCACCTAGCCTAACGTCGCTTCACCGCCGTTTCCCTCTCTCTCTCTCTCTCTTCATAACACTCTCCCTTTTACGCCTCACGCCAAATGCCTGCACTCTCTCTCTCTACCAAGCAACCCCAACAACCTCTGTTGTTGTAGTTGTATTCACTGCATTTCCTTAATTACACTTGGTCTCTTCTACTACGTGTCGTGCTTGGTAACAATGGAAGATAATGGCTTGGTGCCGTTGTTTTATGTTGCTCACCACAAGTGGAAGTTTGTCATGTCTCCTTTGCTGCTCATGCTTTTTCTTCTCTCTCCACTTGCTTCCCCCTTCAGTACCGAAGAAGGTTTGTTTTTGTATCTGCATTATTATTGTTGTTATTATTATTTTCAGATACCCCTTTAGTTCTTTTTGTTTCTTTGGTTCACTACACCCTTCAAAATATTGACTTGCATCTTTTTGTTTGTCTTAGGTTTATGTTTCTCTGCAGGCTTTCTCACCCGTTTGTATTTGGTTTCTGACTCTCGTTTTTTGTGTGTAAAAATTTCTCTCAAAAGTGTAGCTGTGCCTGTGTTACTGTGCTTTCATTTGAGACGCATGCTTGTGGAATGCGGTGTTTTGTTGAAACAAAGTCAAATTTAGTTTTAGTTTCTTTTTCTCTTCTTTTCCGTTGTGTCGTTCTTTGTAGGCATTCGATTCCCAGGTGTTTTTGTCGGCGGTTTAGTAGATATTTACGATGTTGGGTTTGGTGAAACACCTCTCGCTTTTTATTTTCTTTGTGGGTGGGGGGTCCTGGGATAAAGTGTTTTTTCCATTCGAAGAAAGGATTCACGTGCTTTGAGATCTTTTTTCATCATTGTAACTACTTTGTGATGACAATGATAAATTATTAATGAATTCTAGCTCCGTATGCCTTTTTCATTACCTTACCGGATGATACTTCATGCCATACAAATAGAAGATTATTTGCAGAGATTCGTCAGTCGAAATTGTAATAAGATGCTTATGCTTATGTTTTTTTTATTGTTGAATAATTTTGTGAAATTAGTTGCTTTGTGATCCCCGCAACAGTAACGAAGCAACTTAAGGAAACATACAATAGTATTAATACTTGGGTAGTGCATTATTTATACATTAATTGTATCGGTTAGCAAGTGTAAGTATAGCTCAAACGATATTTTAGTCATGCATTAACTTTATGCTAATTTGTTCACTCTGGGTTCGGCCCTTGTTCTTCAGTTTCAAGCTATTTCCTTAATTTTAGCTTTTTATTGGGTTATCTTTCTGCATTTGGATACATTTTAATATTTCTGTTGTTATAACATTATTAAAATACAGAAAGTAATTAAAAAAGGTCACATGGGGAAGCTATCTTTTACAGGGACACCCTGACTTGTGTTTATAATGTGAATAGAATTTAATTTAAATATGAATATATGAATTGTACATGTCAGACTCGATACTTTTCGATGATTTTCTTAACCTTTTCTTGAAAAATCATGCTGCCTATATAAATTTGTTTTGGATTTCCCGAAATATTTTTCTACTGTGTCGTAATTTGCCGTTATTTGGTTTAATAAAGTAGTTGCATGCTTTAATTTACACAGTTTTGTAGTCCTTTATGCGAATTTTAATTTGTTAGCCCAATTTATTTTACCGTGAAATGATGTGCGTAAATGAATACCTAGCTTCGACAATGGGGCACAATAAAATATGGAATTGATAAATTCGTACGTCACTGAAGTTTGGAATTGCTTGAGTTTTGAATGGCCTTGGAAATGCACAGGAAAGGCATTAATGGCGATGAAGGCTTCCTTCAGCAATATTGCAGACGTTCTTCTTGACTGGGATGACGTGCACAATGACGACTTCTGCTCTTGGCGTGGAGTTTTTTGTGATAATGTCAGCCTTACTGTAGTTTCTCTGTGAGTTTATCGTCGTCATTATTATTATTATTATTCTTCGCAGATTAATTTCTTCATTTGTCTCAATCTCTCTCACGAGTACCTTTTTCCTGGTTAATTAACTGTTTGTGTTGAGCTAATGTGTTCTGTACTTTTTTCTGAAGGAACCTGTCTAGTTTGAACCTAGGTGGGGAGATATCACCAGCAATTGGTGACTTGGGGAACCTGCAATCCATGTATGTTTGTTTTGGAGTGAAATTGTTAAACCTTTGAAAATTTCCATCTCAAATGAATCATTGTTTTATTTGGTATGTTGTGTTTAAACTTTCAGTTTTTCTGAATTGTTTTTTTTTTTATCTCTTGGTACCTTCAGAGACCTCCAAGGGAATAAACTAACTGGTCAAATCCCAGATGAAATTGGAAACTGTGCAGCGCTTGCTCATCTGTATGGCTGGATTTGTTTGTTTCATTCCCTTTTTGCTTATTGTTTTGGTTTTACCGTGAAGGGTTTTTTTCTGTGATAGAATTGCTTATCACATGTTTTTTCCCCTTTTTAATTGCAGGGATTTGTCTGATAATCAGCTTTACGGTGATATTCCTTTCTCCTTGTCCAAGCTGAAGCAACTTGAGTTTTTGTAAGTTAGAAAGCAGAATATTGCAATCAATATGCAAGTGTATTTTTGAATTGAACGAGTCCTAAGCTGAACTGGTGAATGCAGGAATTTAAAGAGTAATCAATTGACTGGTCCTATACCATCAACTTTAACCCAAATTCCAAACCTGAAAACTCTGTAAGTTTTGTTTCTCTTCTCCATATAGATCTTTGGGGTGTTTGACGCATTTTAATTTAGTTCCGAGTGTTAATGCCCTGATGCTTTAGCTGTCTTGGAAGAAGTACTAATCACTAGATTGCCATGTTTATAGTGATCTTGCTAGAAATAGGCTCACTGGAGAGATACCAAGACTACTCTATTGGAATGAAGTCTTACAGTACCTGTAGGTTTAATCTTCTCTTTAGTATTATAGTCTATATTTATACTTCAATGTTTCTCAATAATTCTTTGATTCTATAAAAGATTTTTTTGTGATTGTACATTGTTGCAGTGGGTTGCGAGGGAACCTGTTGAGTGGTACTTTGTCCCCTGATATCTGTCAATTAACGGGTTTGTGGTATTTGTGAGTAATCTAACTTGAGCACAATGTGATTACTATTGTTTACCTTTATTGTCCCTTACATCTGTTTAATCTTTGTTTTTTTGTTGTGTTCCATGGATTCTCAGTGATGTGAGAGGCAACAATTTGACTGGTACCATACCTGACAGCATTGGGAACTGCACAAGTTTTGAAATCTTGTATGTTTAAGTATTTAGAATTCAGTATATAGTATGTTCAAGTTTTTTTTCAGTGTTTTTTGTTTTCATGGTCACTCTAATGTTTCATTGAATTCCAGGGACATATCATATAATCAGATAACAGGGGAGATTCCTTATAATATTGGATTTCTTCAAGTCGCTACTTTGTGAGTTCCTTGACTGCTGTGAATTGCTTTTGCGTCTTCTATCTCTTCTGGCTAAAGTTTTTTTTTTCTTTGAGAATGCTGTTGAGTCATGTTGTACCGAAGAGATAACTATATTATCTATTACTGCAATTGGTCTCTAGGTCACTTCAAGGAAATAGACTAACTGGGAGGATTCCAGAAGTGATTGGTTTAATGCTCTTATTAAACATGCATAATATTATATAATATTATTTATTATCTATTTTTTACTTATTGTTTAATCAAACAATCAAATTTCTACTCTATTTTTTATATCTATTTTTACTCTTATATTTCTTTTTTATTTCACTTTATTCTATTTTTCACTTATTTTTCTTCTTTATTAAACACACAAATGGAGAAAATAAAAGAAAAAATAGAAAGAAAAAAAAATGATGTGGATCCACGTGTTTTTACTTTCAACTCGGGATAATATCAAAGAATATGCAGCACAAGGATTATTAAAAATTTATTATACAATACAACGTATTTAATGATACCATTGGTCAGCGCTAATGTAAATATTTAAAAACATATCACAGAAAGGGACTACACAAAAAATACCTTAACTTATATATTACCATTCCATTTTTAGATAAGTTTAAAAATGTATTTCTTCTATATTATAATACTTATTTGTTTTCATACATACATATAGTTTTCTAGAAGGATTGAAAGAAGCTTTTGGGTGAGCGAAGGAAAATGGGAGTTTTCCCCCATTTGGGAAGATGAGAATGAACTGTCACAAATGAATCCATCTCATTTGTACATAACTAAGTGGAAGATAATATATAACTACTCATGCATCATGACATAATGGAGTCATTAGTTTTCAAATTTCCTTTAATGCATTATTTCATGTCTTTCATAGTTTTCCATTTGAAGAATAGAGGCATGGTGTTTTTTTTTTTTCAATTATATTTGTTGATATCATACAAATATGTTATATTATGTTGAAGAGACTAAAAGATTTGTGAGAAATTCATTTCTAACCTGTCTTTAACCTCACAAAAGGAACAATCCTTTCTTGGATAGTAATACAAAATGTATCAATTATGCATTTAACTTTCTTTGTCACGACTCTTATACAAATAGTTATAATAATATTCCTTAGTCAAACTTGTTTAATGAAAATTTTACGAATAAGCATTGCTGAATGTAGGATGTTAAATTCAAGAAGAACAACTTTTGCTATTAACTTTTTTTTTTTAATTCTTTCAAAATAGTCCGATTTCTAAATTTTTTATCATTTGTTGCAAGATGTTAAGTGCCAGGGTTGCTTTAACATGAAAGTAGGATCTTTCTTTTATTCTTCTTAATTTGATTGTGATATATTTAACTAAGTGATGTGAATTTATTTATGTGCTGCCTTTAATTTGGATACAAAACCACTGTGTTCTAGCCACTCCTAGCCAGTTGTGGTAGCTACTAAACTATGATGAGGCAACCAACATGTAACATGCCACTCCTTTATCTAGGTTTTCTAGGTTGATATTGGGATGAACCCACGTTGTCTTAATTTCCTGCATCAAGGAAAAATTAGGCTTAGAAATATCTAGTTATGAAGCTTTAGCTAATTTAAAAATATACTTTTGGTCATATCCATGCCCAAACCGGAATGAAACCCAAATCTTGAATTAAAATAAAGAGTTTACTCTTAATTGTTTTGTCTATGGTTTTGGGGCTCAATATTTTCTTTGTCTATTGAATCCAAACACCTAATTATGTGTATAAGACCCTCTTTCGAGGGAGAACCCACTTGGTGTTTGATAGGTTTCAAATTACTGAGAGCTAGGGTTACACTAGTATTACTAAAATAAAGAAAAGCTAATTCAGGAAAATGATATTCTCTCCCATTCAATTAACCTGAACATACATATATAGGTCCCTAGAAAATATCTAATGGACGCTGGGCTTGTAAAAACAAGGGCTGGAAATTATTAAAAAAAACAACTAAAACACAAAAGGAACAATTTAGCTCGGAATCTTGCTGGTTTCCTTTTCTTTATTCTCCTGTGTATCATTGACACTGTGTGACATTTTCCAGCTTCATTGGAAATCCTTTCTTATGTGGAAATTGGTTTGGATCAATCTGTGGTCCTTCTGTGCCAAAATCAAGAGGTGTGGTACCTGTATTGATTTTGAACGCCTTTATACAACTGAGTTCTTTTAACTTTGAATACAATGAGATAACAGTTTGTATTTTTTTTCAGAGATTTTTTCAAGAGTTGCTGTTGTATGTCTCACACTGGGGATCATGATGTTGTTGGCCATGGTAATTGTTGCATTTTATCGATCCAGCCAGTCAAAACAATTGATGAAAGGATCTAGCCGAACTGGCCAAGGCACGTTGAATGGTAGAATTTTGTTAGTTTAATGTTAGCCTGAATCTTTAATTAAATTTTGTTCTCTTGTGCTTGCTTTTGATCAGGTCCCCCAAAACTTGTTGTTCTCCATATGGATATGGCTATCCACACTTTGGATGATATAATGAGAAGTACAGAGAATCTCAATGAGAAATACGTCATTGGGTATGGTGCTTCAAGTACTGTATACAAATGTGCTTTGAAGAATTCCCGACCAATTGCAATTAAGCGACTGTACAACCAACAACCACACAATTTTAGGGAGTTTGAGACAGAACTTGAAACTATTGGCAACATTCGACACCGAAACCTTGTCACCTTGCATGGATATGCTCTTACACCCAATGGGAATCTCCTTTTCTATGATTATATGGCGAATGGCTCCTTGTGGGATCTTCTACACGGTAATTTTGTTGTGCATTAAATTTCTTATTGAATTTTGTTCACGATTTTGAAAATATCTGTATTAAATGTGGTGCTTTGGACACTATTCTCTCTAGATTGATAAATTTCATTTTATGTTTAGGGCCGTTGAAGGTAAAACTTGATTGGGAGACACGTCTGAGAATTGCTGTCGGAGCAGCTGAAGGACTTGCTTATCTCCATCATGACTGCAACCCACGAATTGTTCACAGGGACATAAAGTCTTCGAATATTCTGCTGGATGAAAACTTTGAAGCTCATCTCTCTGATTTTGGCACTGCTAAATGTATCTCAACCACAAGAACTCACGCATCGACCTATGTCCTTGGAACTATAGGCTATATTGACCCTGAGTATGCCCGAACATCTAGGCTGAATGAAAAATCAGATGTTTATAGCTTCGGGATTGTTCTACTGGAGCTACTTACTGGGAAGAAGGCAGTGGACAATGACTCCAACTTGCATCAATTGGTACGTGTATTACTAATACATGCATGAAATATATTTTTGGTTTTTACAACACCGTTAAAACTTATCACTTAAACGTGCCTGGTTTAACTTGTGTTCTTGTCCATTAACTCATTAAGTGGTTCACAATAATAGTATAGTCGATATGCTTGTATTTTGAGTTGTGTGTCCCTTCGAGTTTTGTTGTTGACTCATTTTATCACTTGATTATTCTTCAGATATTATCCAAGGCAGATAACAATACTGTAATGGAGGCTGTGGATCCAGAGGTGTCTGTAACGTGCATTGATCTGTCACACGTTAAGAAGACCTTTCAGCTTGCTTTGCTTTGCACTAAAGGGAACCCCTCTGAGAGGCCTACTATGCATGAAGTAGTCAGGGTGCTGGTATCCCTACTTCCTTCACCTCCAAGTAAAATCCTTGCCCCACCTGCAAAGAAATTCGACTATGCGCATTATGTGATTGAGAAGGGACAACAACGAAAAGAGGAAGCAAGACAACCTCAGGAGGACAACAATTCATCCAATGCTCAATGGTTTGTTCGATTTGGGGATGTTATATCCAAGAGTACTTAACGTTCGTTGGTTTGATGTCTGACATAAGTTGATGATCGGGTTTAACTAGTGTTTCTTTTTGTGATTAGATATATCCTTTGACCTTTCAACAAATAGGGTGTGGAATACAAATGAATAGGGGGATAAAACACTTTACTGTTATAGAGCTTAAGGAAGTTTCTGCTGTATATCTTACAAGCACTTGTTTCCTGGCTTTATTTGATTAATGCTGCTCTTAAGTTGCTTGTTTTGATTGTTAATTATGGTGGTTATTGGGTATCTCGCGAATAGTTGGTCTTCTTTATACTTATTTCTTATATATTTTTTCTTCTAAGTAAACTGTAAAGCAGTTGAAGTTTTATCATATGTATTTTGATTCATTTCATCGAATGCCATCGTAAGAGACTTGGCAATCAAGTCACAAGAAAGACAACAAAATTATGGGGACCGTTAAAACTTAAAAGAGGCGAGTACCTTCTGACTTACAGTTCATGTTTGTAAGCCTTTAATAGAAAAGTTTATTTAACCTTTCGGTCAATATAACTTCAAATTTGACTTATAGCTTATTTCTGTTCCCTTTTTAGTTTTCTTAATTTTCTTATAATTTTATGTGGACCAAGGGAAAGTTTATCTTCATATTAGAATTATAAAGAAAAAATGTTGATCATATGAAGTAAAAGTTTTTTTTTTAATTATTGGAAGAAAAATTATTGATTATGAAACTATAAAAGTTAAAAAGATGATTAAACCTAACTCTAATATAAACCTTTCTTAGCATTTCATTTTTTTTTGTAATTTTTTTTACAAATACCACAAGTTCAGTTATTTGCTCGTCTTAATCAAATTTATACCACGAATAATGCACGAAATACTGCGATTAACATCCGAAGAATATTAATTAGAGAGAAATGTGGAAAATTTGGACATGGTTTCTCTCAATTGAATAGCTGGTACTTGTTAGTAAGGTTCTAAATTTATGATCTATAATCGAATTATTAAACTTCGATTGTTTAACAGGTTTTTCTAGCGTAACCAAATATGTGGCACTTATATGAAAATGATCTTTGGGGCTACAGATTGTCCTCTGCGAGACAATGCTTTGAAGAGAGCAAAAGTATAATTGCTCATAAATTTGAAATGACTAATGATTAGTTACTCGTGGAACCACTTGGATAAATTAATGAGGAAATTTTACTATTTACAGCTAACATTTCACTTACAAAACTAAATTTTTTGTCCTGCCTCATCGTCAGAGTCTGCAACTTGCTGGTTTTCTATTTGTTAAAAAGACCTTCTAAAGTTTGTAGAATTAATGTATATTTTTATATAATTAATTTTTAATAAATATTTTTTGAATATATAAATTATATTTTAGATTTGTATTAAACATTTTTAAGTGATATAGAAAAAATATCAAGTATACAAGTAGATATAAAGAAAAAAATTGAAATGTACATCCAAAAGATAAAATAAAGAATATAGAGAATTAATATTTTAACAAGTAAAATGAATAAGGTAAATGTTTATTTTTATATGATTAAATTTTATAATAAATAAATATTTTTAAACATAATTAAAATATGTAATAAATAAATTTTTTTATTGGTGAAAAAGAATTTGTATTACGATATAATGTTATCTTTAATTATTGGCAATTTATTTTTAAAAAATTATTAAAACTTAATTTGAAAATAAAGATAAAAACAATCAATTGAAATATATAAGTAGTTAAAAAGATTAAATGCGTAGACAAAGATACAAAGAGCATGGTTTGAGATGGTTGAGAAAATTATTTTTGATCAGTTATTAAAAACATTAAATATAAAACAGTACATTCGAAAAGAATACTAAATTAAAAAATAAAATAAAATGTTTAATTTACAAGACAGTTATTTAAAATTAGAATTTCATCTCAAAAACTTATATTATCCTTTAATATATATATATAT